TCATCAGATTCATGAGTTTCTAGAATTCTCTTGCTCAGCTCAGTGTCGTCCGACCTGTGGCTGCTAGCTCCAACCGTCGGCGAACGAGAAGATCGCCCGTTCGCCAAGAAACGAGCAGCTAGGTTTTGCTCTACATTCGGCTGCACGGCAGAAGCAGCAGTAGTACCGAGGACATTCCTCTGCGGGGCAATCCCCGTTGCCGCCAGAGGAGTAGTCGGACGAGTCGTCAAGACCGTAGGAGCATTTATTGAGAGAGGAGCCGCCAAAGAAGCAGCCGCCCCTAGAGGAGTAGTGCTAACAGCCGACGAAGAAGCGGTGCCGGTCGGGATCGTAGTTTCCATGATGAAGTTTGACAGAAATTTGTGTGGCTCTAGTGGTGGTTGGAGGATGAGAATTAAGAAATGGAGATTGTGCGATTGCTTGGATTTGGTTTAGTTCTATGCCCTTTATATAGGGCATGCACCAAGGGGAAAAGTGCTTCGTTAGCTACCTTGCTTCCAATATTCAATAAGGATTTAGATTCCATATTATAATTAAAGTGCCGTTCTCTCGACATATAAAATCTTAGGATATGAGCTTTGCTTATATTATGTGCCATTGGCTGTCGTCGTTGTCTTTTTTCTTGTCCCTTGCTAGTGTTGCTTTTCTCTGTTGTTCGAGTACTCTACAGCGAAATAAAGGGGGGGAAAAAAAAGTCCTATCGGTGCTTCTATAGTCGAAAAATCAAACTATATGGTGTACTGCAAATTATTGTGAAGAAAAACATAAAAATCTCATTGGATGCTCTATTTGTACTTTTATTGACTAAGTGCAGGAAGGAATAAATAAATAAAACTGTACATAAGCTGACAGACATCCAACTACAAGAAGGAAAAAAAAAAAAATTCCAAAATTTGTATTTTGTAAGCTTCCTCGCGAGAAATAGTACTTCTACTTTGATTAAGAATTTTATTTTAAAAGAACTTTATTAATAAAAAAACATGTTCTGTTTTGACATTGTTTTTATTTCTTTTGGTAAGAAGAAGAGAAGTAAAAACTGTGACTTTAAAATAAGTTTTTAAAACTATATTTTTAAAAGAGATTAAATAGATCATAATGGTTTTTAAATTTTTTTAATAGACATTAAAAATGTTGTAAAAAAATTTTATAAAGTTTTAATGAAACTCTGGTATATGTTTCAAAATTATTCAAAAGCGCTTTTTTGAGAAGCAACATTTTGTGGCTTTGGCTAGAAGTCCTTTTGGAGATCAAAGTTCTTCTAACAGATTATTCAAAGGGAAAAACTAGAAATACCACTCAAGTTGGTAAAAAAAATATTATTTATGCCACTCCACCAAAATATAAACAATTGTCATTTAATTAATAAAAAGAAAATAAAATGTCATAATCGCGCCCTATTTTTTAGAATGACAAATAATAGACATGCACAAAACCATGGCAAAGTATGCACTTTTGTCTTATCGAAACACTGTTATAAGCAGCTTTTGGACCCAATAAGCTAATAGTAACTTCTAGAAAAACTACATTTAGGCTTTATACCACTTTTAATTTCAATTTATCCATCAATGCCACTTTAATATGAAAATTAGGCTCACATTTTTCTCAAAATAGTTTGTTCAAATTCACCAATAGATTATTATCACTTCACGGTGCAAAAGATAAATATTTCTAGGTAAACTTGTAGCAACTCGATATTGTTTTATTGATGTGAACTTTATTACTTGTTACTATTTTAGCTAGAAGATTTGCTATGAATGGAATCATTTTCAAATAGTATTATAATTTATGGCTACATAATCTTCAATTATAAAATTCATAATTAATTACTCTTATCAAAATAAACGGTCACTTCTTTTTTTTTTTTTTTGATTTGTTGCTTATAGTTTCTTTTTGAGGGGCAAGGTGATTTTACTCCCTTTAATTTATTAATAAGTTTCCTTCTAACTTGGAATGTTTTAAATAAAAATAAAAAAAATAGGCTAAAAATATTTTATTAGATCCAAAACTCATTAGCAAAAAATTGGGTCTAAAGTAAAAGAAATCTGTCGTGATATTGGAGTTAGCTTAGCAACCACTGATTACTCTGATTCCCGCCGGATTATATGTGTCTGTTGGATATGCAACCGTGTACATATAGCAGATCTTATCAAAGACTGCGCTTTTGACTAGTTAGAGAAGGAAATTGTAATTTTCTTAATATAAGTTATATACAAACAACCGACCAAGCGAAATTCTTTTAAAAGGTATTAAAAAAAGTTGAAAATTAAGCATGTAAATGTGGAATATTATTACGGAAAAGGTCTTCTATTCTTTGCCATGATATGCTAGATAAAGGTGGGGAATTATTCATGGATCGCAAATTAATGTAAAGTTTAGTCCCAAAATTTTCATTTTAAGATACATATGAAAAACGATATACTACCTTTATTAAAATAAGTGTAGAATAGACTTGACACTGTATTCTTTGATCGGAAACAAGAGATTCTTCTATTTCAATCTTTTCAGCTGGAAAGTTATTATTATATATCTCATTTGTTTTTCCCAAAACGAAAATGACTTTTGTTCTTTGGTAAACAAGATAAAGTTTAGAAGTCAAATTCTTGATTACTTTACAGGAATATCACAAGTTTTGAACTTGGATTGAAATATGTCTGCCAAGGGAGATAAACTATGTCTGCCAAGGGAGATAAACTATTACAGAGAAAGACACAACCAAAGATATTTAAAAGTTGTAAAATCTATAAAAATCACAAATATATGCATAAAAAATCACAAAACGTCTTACGAAATTTAAAATACTGAATCAAATACACAAAAAACTAAAGATATTTAAAAATCGTAAAATCCATAAAAAATACAAATATGTACATAAAAAATCACAGAACGTATTACAAAATCTAGAATACTGAGTCAAATACACAAAACTGCAAGCATAATTTTGGTCAAAACACAAAACTTAAATGATGTCATTGTGATATATTTTGTAATAGTTTTAGTGTTTATGGTAAAAGTCAATCCAATCTTAAAAATCATGAAATATTACCTAAGTATCTCGAGAATAATGAATGGTATCATACTATTTGGAATTGAATATTAAACAATGTTAATCCGATTTGAGGACTCATCCATATATGTGTGTATCAATGCAGCAAAGATAATCTATTCACCAGATAATACGAAGTAATGCAAGAAAAGCGGCAAACCTTTATTATTATAAATAGCTGCAAACTCCCGCAGTAGTAGCGGAAGTAATACATTATTCTTAGCCAAAATAAATAAATAAATAAACATTAGAAATACATAGTAGAATTCACATCACAAAAACAACAAATCACGATCTCAATTCTTTTATTTAAGATAATATCCCTCGTCTCAAGAAGTCACCACATAACTATAAGGTTATGTTCAATCAAGGCAGCAACGGAACATGGTGAACCTTTCCATCAAGCGGCCACACTCAGCGCATGCAACGGTGTCAGGCATGGCTCCGGTGGCCGGCAAGATGAGGCTGGTGCAGTGATGCGGTGCATCGAGGTTGATCTTGCGGAGATACTCGTCCAAAGCTGGCAAGAAACCGATTTCAGTCTCCCTCATCCTCCACCGGCCGTGCTCGGCCAAGGCCTTGGACACGTGCTCCCCGTTGCCCTTCACCATCTCGCCAAATCCCCGACTGAACACCGCAAATCCTTGGCTGCTTGAGCCGTAGCTCAGCATGGCGATGATGCCTCGCATTATGAGGTCGTCCTTCGCGTTCTCGGGATTGGTAAACTGTCCTTTGGAGTTCCACATGTTTTCCAAGCGAACCCAAAAGTACCAAATGAGGTTCCCGTCTAGGGTTCTACTCAGAGTCTCTGTGACGATGTGGTCGATAATGTTCTTGGTGTTCCTCTCCTTAGATTTGTTCTTCCCAACGTAGAGCAACTCCAGAGTAATCCCAGATTCCCGCGCAACATCTTTTGCAATCCTTGTGAATTTTCGGATCCACTCAATGTCGTCCCCTCCATATAAGCAAATATATCTCCCTTCATTAATCTGAAATAAAGATTTTACGTTCAGTACAATATATATATATAGTGCAATTTTGGTTAAAAAAACACTAAATAAATCACTAATAGTTAAGCCTTAATAGTTGAGATAAAGTTGGAGACACCGGTGGCATCCAACACCACATACTAATAAAAAGTTGAATCATTTTTTATTAGTTGTGGTGCTCAACAATACTCTCCCGGTTTTTTCATTGTAATACTCGCACATTTTGTAAAATCATGCAGTATAATAAATATGTATGTGTGTGCATGCGTCTGTAATAATAATATTTTGCTAAGGTAAGTGTAGATTAACACGAAGATGCTTGGGGGCTCTTCGGAGATAGGGCTCGCAACTGACTGAAATAGGAGTGCCTACTCATTTCCGTGAGTTGTAAGCCTCCAAGCTTAGGAGTGCCTAATAGCATTGCTCATAAATGAAACGTACCCATGTAGCCATAGTTGGTTCTAGGTTGTCGGCCAAAAGGTCAATGGTCCAGCTCATTTCCTCCCAAAGCAATTTCTCCCTGATGGTGGTGAAAGGGTACGAGTGGCCTCCCCAAATGCACATCATGTGGATCGCATTGTTATGCACAATTCTTCCTTGAGTGTCCATCACTACAACCATAGGCTTTTTGGAGAAGTTCCACTTCTCTCTGAAGAACCTAAGGACCACCGGAGACACCACCGAAGGATGGTGCACCGAATACCATTCCATCTGGTTCCTTAGGGTCTCAAACCACCTATACTTGTCCTCGGTCCAGATATCTGTGACTGGGACCCAGATTACCTCGTATTGACCCTCCGACCTCGTCAAGCTCTGCCTTTTCTCAAGGTACATTTGCTGTAGGATTCCATATTCTGGTGTGTGTGTCAGCTCAGGGTCTATTTCCGTGATGAATAGGACTACAACCTTCCTCCTCACGTCTTCAATCGTAATCTGTTTTCAATGGGACATCCAGTTATGTTTCCACCTAGAAACCATATTTCTGCATCTACTTGTTTGAAACTCTTTGATTTTGACAAATATGATTTAAGATTTGACCAGTTTGAACAAGAAATGTATAAAAAAAAGAGGAGGAAGAAAGTGGTTATTATGAGATATAAGAGCAAAACCCTTCTCTTGTTGTAGCAATCGTAGAATGGTTGCGGATCTTCCTTGAACAAAACCCTTAGAGGCCTTGAGTTATCAATGTGTGTTGTTGTAAAAGTGCGCACAACAATCTCATATGCTTCATCATCCTTCTTTTTCTCTGGTTCAAACCATTACAAATGTCACTAGGCACATTAAACAAGCTCATTTAGAGAAGCAATATATATATATGTGTGTGTGTGTGTGTGTGTGTTTGTGTGTAAGGATGCCTCACCAATGAATTTATAACAGCGTTCGATGATGTCCACAAGATGGCCTTTAATGTTGTTGAGCTTATAGGCCAAAGATGACAGCTCCCATGTCTCCGTTAAGTACCTAATTATTATACAAGTCAAAGGCCAGAGAGCAAGGTTTGATTAATTATATATTGTTAAATTGTGGAGCCTAACCATTGCAGGACGTGAAGCCTAATTATTATCGGAAAGGTGAGAGAAAAACACTTAATCTGAAAGAAGCATACGGTGTTATTTCTCTTATAATCTTCTTCTTATCATAGTAAATTTTTGCAACGTTTAAAAGTTGACGTCTCTCATATATTAAGGGTGACCCACCATTAATATTCTTGTGTGTTCTCGTTTGTTTCTTTTCTTCTTTGATTTATTGCTCTCGACAGTATTGAATTAGAGCGTCCAATTCTTAGCATATATTACACGGGGAAAGTTGAAAAGAATATTTAATAGAGAAGTAGAGAGTTTTGAGTTAGAAAATCATACTCGATACCCATGCCAGTGAGGGACAAGATTTGTGTGGCGGAAACCACTATGCTTCGGATGCTCCAATAAACAGCAGTGGGGATATGATTAACGGCAGCCAAAATTTCAGGAGATTCAGAGGTGAAATAGTCTCTGGGAAGGTCATAAAACTCCACAATTTTCTTTGTCACGTCAATGATTTCCTTGATGAGGGTGTAGAGAGCGTCGAGTTTTGGTTTCAGATCCGCGGCATGCTCCAATACCTCCGGCAGTTGCTTAAGGAGACCGATGGCCTTCGCGAGTGGGCTGGTCGAGTAAAGCTGAAGTACAACCCGAAACTCACCAAAGGTCACTGCAAATGCAACCAAGGCCAACACCGCCTTTGATTCCCAGCTGTAGTGTTTGATCAAACGCAATATGTCCATCACTATTGTGTGCACATCCACTCCGGCCGAGCACTTGCTGAATATCTGGCAGTGTCACAAAGATGTAATATTAAAGGGTGATCAACTAATTACTGAGGATTTCATCAGTAATATTGAAATGTTTTCCTAGTATATTTGTACACTAAAAAATGTCGCAGCAATGTGGATAGGTTCTCCTCTCTTTTTAATGATTAATCCATCACTTCTCCTTGTATGTGACAGAATTAAGCGATTTATGACTAACCCTTTTGCCTATTTCTATTTATTTATTAAACTTAAAGTGACGATTTAAAACTCTAAATCTCAAGATAGGGTCAAGTATGAATTCCCACACGCCTAGTTTTTAATTTCTATATAGCAACAAAGAAAAAAAATCTAGCCAACTATTTCTAATTATTCACAAACTGATCACAATAACTTACTGGTCACATTTTTTTATCCATTATTGTGCATCATTATTAGCAAATAAATAAATAAATTATTGGCAAAATAAACTATTGAATTACCTCACAGGAAATTGCACTGATAATCCTGGATGGAATTTCAACAGAGTCTTGGAGGCTAGCTGCGGAATACATGACCTTCTCATCCGCAGTAATTAGACTATCCGTTTCCTGTAACCCCATTATTATATCGAAAAGGAGCAATAAACATCATTAGTTAATAACTTTATAACTATGTACATAAATAATAATAAGATTATTGGGTGCTTAATTTATATCCTACATTGTATCCAGGGAGATCAGCTATTGCACGGTGAAAGATGACATCAATGATGTGAAGAACAGGCTTCACTGGAAGACCACGGTCATCCGATTCATGAGTTTCTAGAATTCTCTTGCTCAGCTCGGTGTCGTCAGACTGCACGCGACTTGAGCGGCCATCTCCGAGCACACGCGCTGGTGACCGGATGTCCCCAGTGGAACGAGCCGATCGCCCATCAGATGTTCCAAAGAAACGAGCAGCCAATGTTTGGTCCCCTGTAGTAGTACCACCCAAGATCTTCTGAGGTGTACCAAACCCTGTCAGTGTCCCCGTTCCCGTCGCCACCTGAGGAGTAGACGTGGAGAAAGGAGTAGTACTTCCGCCGAGAGGAGCGGTCGCCACCCCCAAAGGAGTGGTGGTCAAGTGAGGAGTAGTGGACGCCGGCTTAGTGTCCATGTTGGTTTTTCACACACACACAAAAAAAAAAAAGAAAAAATTGTGTGGCTCTAGTGGTGGTTGTAGAATGAGGGGAAAAAAAATAAAAATGAATTGTGTTGCTTGAAATTTTGGTTGAATTCTAAGCCCTTTATATAGTCATTTACTAAGGGGAAAGTAAAGAGCAATTTTCTATACCTTGCTTCTGGGGATTTAGATTCCATATTCTGTCTCCTCTTGTGTATAATCTTCCTCTGCCTTTACTAAAGGTCGTCAACTAATTCTTTTTGTTTTATACGGTGGAAATTGTTTAATATTAATATTTAATTGGTTTAACTAGAATATTCATTGTGAAACACTTTATTGTTTACTATTGTTTACTAATAGAACGTTTAACGTTATTGGTTATTAACATAAAAAAAATTTAAACCAGTCAGTACTCAGAGCATTACCAAGTAAGATATTCATTGTCTTCTTCGTGACAGTCAGAACTTTATGAAGTACCTCCCCACAAGCAAAGTAAAATTTACGTACCAAGTATTCTTGTATGAAATTTTATCTTAGCGAGAATCTCGTTAATAGCTTGAGTTACATTCTTTTCACTTATGATAAGCAGCTTCATAGTTACTTGATGTAGGAATATACATTACTTGGTTCACCATGAGCAGGGATTATATTGAGATAAATCATTAATTGGGTAATTTAATACAATAAAGATAACTTGTATTCTTGTTGAACTTATTATTATTCATAAAGAAGACCAACAAAATAATAAAGAAAAAAAATATGGCTAATTGATTAGAAACTTTGTTTGTTCTCAAATACACACACACACACACACACACACAAATATATATATATATATATATATATATATACACACACACACACACAAAAAACACAGAGAGAGAGGAGAC